CTTTCTTGTTATTTGATACATTCGTAATGTGTTTCCTTTTTTTTAATTTCTTTTTAAAAAAAAATTTATAAGCAAAAAATTGTCATTGTTAGAAAAATTTAACTAAATTTTTTTACTCTATTATTACCGCGAAAAAATTCAGTATTATCTGTAACGGTAGCAATAGGAAATAAACTATTCTTTTGTTTGAAATTTTATTATTAAATAATATTAATATCATAGCATTTAATAGTGTCACCAAACAATATTTTGTAGCGGTAAAAAATTTCATACTGTATCGACACTTTCAATTAGGACATATGGATATTGTCAAATATAATTTTCTGTTTCGTATGTATGCTTTAAATAATAATAATAGTTAAACATCTTATTTGCCAAATTTATTATTGTAAATGTTGACTCATTACCTGATAATCCATTAATACATCTAATAAATTTGTTTCCTTACTAGGATGGCTACTTTGGGTTACAGACGGTTTCTAGAAATTGTTTCATTAGTATGTAATGATCATTAGTAAAACTAACACATTTATAATATTTACCAATATTTCATTAACACTAGGTAAGGAATCTTCTTCTGTCAAATTTGAAGAAACTTTTTCTATGAAGTTGTTAACAGGTTTATTGTTGGTCTTTAGTTAATATGAAATGGTTCAGAAATATTAAAATTGACGATGAAGGTTATAAAGTATATATTGAGTATATCATAATCATATAATATTTATTCACCTTATCAACTTTTTTAATTTTCTTTTTTGAAGCTTTAAATTGTTTATTTATTTGGGATTTGTACTTATCGTTAGAGTAACTTTTCATTAACCTTAATATTATCTCATTAAATCTTTGTTCATTTGCTTCTTCTGTCGAGTCATAATATTCATCAGATTGTGAGTTATCGCATTCCTTTAATTTTAATTATTATTTTCGTTGTAGTTATTAAAAAATGAACGTGGGAGATTGGTGCTAAAATTTTTATTTTAGATACTAAAAATGATATATATTAAGTTGCTAGACAAAATTTTAATACATACATCACTTTTTCATAGCTTAAAGGTTGGGCCGCATCTGAATCATCTAAAGAACTGGATTTATTATTTGTACTATCTTCCTCTATATAAAAGCTAGAACTTTGAGCTGCACTTTCTTGAATCATTATTTCTGCTGATTGTTTCTTAAGATATTTCATGTTAGAATTACTTAATAATCTTTCTTTTTTTCTTTAATATGAATATCTGGCTATCAATCTGGTATTTGCAGCAATTTACCTGAATACTAGAGTCTGAAATTTGTGTTTCATTGCCTTGATTCTCTTCGATTACATTGAACGATTGGTGCTAAATATTTATTTTTGTTACTAAAAATTATATATATATTAAGTTGCTATACAAATTTTTAATATATACATTGCTTTCTTCATGATTAAGAGGTTGGGAAGCGTTTAAATCATCTGAAGAATTTATATGTGCACTGCTTCCTTGAATCATTATTTCTGCTGGGTTCAATTGCGAATTACTGATGAACTATTCCTTAAGATTTCCATATTAGAATTATCTAATAGTCAAAATTAAAAAAAAAAACAATCTAAACACAAAATATTCTTATTTCATAACCTTTGTTAGCGATTATAATTGGATCATTCTGCTCTGTAAGATTTAGGATCTTTAAGAAATTTTCTCTGTTAATAAGTACCACATTTGGTGCATTCAAATATAATGTTCTGAAAGTTTCGTCATTTAAAAAAAAGGTAACAGAAAATAATGTATTTGTATTAAAAGTGGCTGAGGTTATTTTGCTTTCAATAGCTTTCCAGATAATATTAAAGGAATTTTTTATGAGCTCTTCTTTATCCTCCACAGTCTCGATCATTACTTTTTTTGATATCATAGTAGTTAAAGATATAATTTTTTTAAAAACAG